GATTCCTCTGTATGTCTGCACATATGGTGGCACTGACAAATAAAAAAACCTTGAATGAGGTGCTTAAAGTTTTTATTCAAAGTCAAAATGTGTATAATCATCAGGAAATTGTTGGTGCAGGTCCATATTGTCCTGAGTTTCTCACAGGAACTGAGAGGACAGAGTTTGCATGTTGAGTCGTCTGTTGTTTGGAGCACCTGTGAGTGTTTCTCTGATCACACAGGAAACAACAGGCTAAAGCCACGCGCTCAGATTACATGAACGCTGACATCAGGCAGCCCTGCGGCACTGCGCTGCTCCTCTCATGTTCTCCTCCTCCTCATATTGTGCATGGAGGATCTTGTGTCTGTGCCAGAGCTGAAGACGCAGCAGCAGCTCCAGAGACGTCCAGTGCTTAACAAGGCCAAAAGTCCTGATATCATCACAGGCCGGTCACAAAATATAACACAATCTGCGCTTACTGAATGCTAAACACATGAGGGTGTGCAAATCTGATTCTGATGAAAAACACAGACATCTACAGAAATCACAATAATTCTGCAGTATCATCAACACTGCCTGCATGTGATATGATATGAACTTTTCCTCTTTTGTCCACTGGACAAGAAAGAAAAAACATATCACATGATAATACCATGGTAATTTCCTGATTCTGAAATATTACCATAGTAATGTACTATTATACATGATATATTTTTATTGGGGGCATATATATATATATATAATAAAATACATGATCCAAAAGTATAACCAAATTATAACCTTGGTAAAAACACATTATATTTGGGTTTATTTCAGTGTCTTTATTGTTAACTGAAACTAAAACTATTAAAAACTGTTAATTGAAATAAAGCTGAAATGAATTTAGAAATGTTTAATTTAAATAAGTTGGAGTAACTAAAAATACTACAATTAAAATTGAAATAATAATAAATTAAAGCTAAGTATAAATATAAAAAAAGACAAAAGCACTCGTAAAACTTTAACTAAAATTAAAATGAAAATTGGTGACGACAGGAAAACGTCAGAAGAAAATACCATGGTACTTCTATTATTATCATAATCCTGCACCATGGTATTTGCATAAATTTACATTATATTTGCAAAATACTTCTAAAAAATTGTCTAAAAGTATAATCTTAAAAACACAATATTAGCATGTTACCATGCCAAAATCACAGCAATACTGGTATTCTATACTTTCATATACCAAGATACTCATTACCATGTTCATATAATATTCACATGGTACTTCAAAGAACACCATGCAATTACCACAAGATAATACCCATAGTAATGTTGTGGTATTTTCTGGTATGTTTCGAGTCACTGTCACTCTTGGAGTTCAACATTCAGCAGTAAACGTCTCTCAGGAGAACCTGAATGAGACACTGTCAATGCGGCCTGAACAAAAGAGCAAATGAAGTGAATTATTAGTGGCACACAAATCACTTTATTAGGCCAATCAAATTGATTTTCATTCTGCTGTCGTTTAGCAGACGCTTGCAGGCATCAAGGCCTCTAATTGTAATTTTATGACGGACTCATGCGAGAGCGAGTCGTGACATTCCATGTTAAACGCCACTGTGAGCAGGACATAAAGTCAGTTCCATATATATATATATATATACACACACACACAAACAATAAGACAAATATACAAATGAAGAGTGCTTTAAGTTTTCAGGTAGGTTCAGGTAAAAATAGAAATTAAATAATCAAATGTAAAACCAATTGAATTAAATATACACTGATATTTTTCATTAAGCAGGTTTATTAGGTTGATGTCACTTTAAGACCAAATGCACGGTCTGTTTTTAAGTTGGAGCCTGTTTTTACTGGATCAATTTATAATCTCATAAATAAAATGAAGTATGATGTAAACAAATACAACAATAGCTTCAGTCGGTACAGGAATATCTGTGATTGAAGATATTAAATGTGACCCTGGACCACAAAACCAGTCATAAGGGTCAATTTTTCGCAATAAATAAAAAATAAATAGCTTTCCATTGATGTATGGTTTGTTAGGATCGGACAATATTTGAAAATCTGGAATCTGAGGGTGCAACAAAATCTAAATATTGAGAAAATCATCTTTAAAGTTGTCCAAATGAAGTACTTAGCAATGCATATGACTAATCAAACATTAAGTTTTGATATATTTACAGTAGGAAATTTACAAAATATCTTCATGGAACATGATCTTTACTTAATATCCTAATGATTTTTGGCATAAAAGAGAAATGTATAATTGTGACCCATACAATGTATTGTTGGCTATTGCTACAAATATCCCCCAGCGACTCAACACTGCTTTTGTGCTGCACATATTTTTAATATGCTTCAGTTTTTTGATTTGTTGAATACTGTAGCTAAAATTAAAACTTTCTGCCAACTTTCTGAATAAAACAGACAAGAAGAACCTGATCTCAATTCTTCTCTAATTACATAATTAATCTCATGTAAAAGTTTAGTTTGTTTCATTGGGTTTTGGGCACACATGACCTCCTGTAACACCCATCAGTGCATCAAATGACAGACGATGTTAATAATTGCAACTCCATAAACACCATTTAGAAAACGAATAGCATTTATCTTCAGCGTTTGAGTCTGATCTCTTTTGTTCTGGTGTTTATTTGTGAGTCGTTTTTCAAAAGACTCAAGCCGCATCTGTTTGTCAATCAGCATTAAACACAGTTTCTCGTGGTCTTCAGCGCCGCAGGAACAAAGCAGAGGTCAGAGGTCACGTGTGCATCCTCCATCTCACCTGTGCATTAAAAATATCCAGTGTGAAATGTCACGACAGGACGGGACCGACACAATTCACGTACTCAAACTATACTGTCAATTAAAACAGAAGCGAGCGCGATGCAATTAGTCGTTGTGCACTAGAAGAAAAGCGCAACAGGAGATAAAAACACAAACCCTGTAATTACAAAATAAGAGAGCTGAGTATTTTCCATGTACCAGGTGGTTTCATCTTGACAAACTCTTAAGATACAATGCAATTACACAAACCTGCAATTAGCCTAGCATCGCTAATTAGTCACAGCACTAAAGAATTGGAGATTGCATTGTTAATCTCTGCTTGTATTAAAAAGTCACATTCGCATTTCTCAGCAATTACGTACGCGCCGCTGCAGGATGGAGACGCGATTCGTGTCTCTCGGCAGATGCTGCTTATTTCTCTGAGGACTTCTGGATGCTTTTGTTGTCGGTCGTCCAGCAGTCTCTCACTCGTTTGATGAGCGTGAGGACGCTGATGCTCATGAACACACGACGGGATAAAATACTAACTCAAGATGAAGTGTGTTCCCAACGGAAGAGAAATCACACGTCAGACTCAACACTGAGAGTCTCTACTGCTTCTCAGCTGTTTCTCCTGAGAAAAAGACCTCAGGAGGCTTACATGTGTCTGCTCTTGAGTTTCAGAAGAGATCTCAACGATGCTGTGCTCTGATTTGACAAGAGAGTGAAGTGTGCGATCAAAAATCTCCGTCTCAGTTTGAATTCTCATGAGTATTGAAGAAGCACAAAGCAGAAGAAAACCGGTTTGGAAAATAATTGCTATTTGCTTTGAAATTAAAATAGTGACGCAGAAACTTCATACTTAAATAAGTAAATAAATAAATAAATGGATGGATGTTAATGGATAATAACAATAATAAGAAGAAATAATAATAACACTAATAATACTTATAATTTGTCATTCTTTCGCCCCCAGCATTTTTGAAAAAAGTTGCCAGCCACCGCCAGCATTTTTTATGTTTTTCACAAAAATTTCATGGCCCCCAGAATATTTTGTTGTATGGATATCTGAACATGCAATACATCGAAATAAAGAACAGAGCCTCTACTTTTCAATAAACAAATCTGTTTTATTCAAGCTTCAAGCATTCTTTTTTTATCAACACTTGAATGTAGGTAAGTTTTATTTAAAAAAAAAAAAAAAAGCAACATTTTGAGCAAAAAGCTGAGAAAATTGCATTTTTTTCAAAAACTACATCTGGGTCATTTTTAGTTTGATGATCAAAGCATAGATGCAGTAGATCGCTTCCATCAACACCCCCAAAGCTTCACAGTCCTTTGCCACTTCCGGGATTTACATTTTACTCTGTAACATTAGGCACTTTTCATTTATATGCTGTTTATTGTAGATGATCGCATTGTTTTTCATATGCATACATAGGAGATCGCTCGTTTCTGCGTCTTCCTCGCCTGTGTTTTTGATCGGCACATTCTAGACTCATTCAGGAGATGCGTAATAGTGCCTCAGAGCGTATAACAGTGAGAACCCGGAAACCCGGAAAATTCCGTGTTTGGCGGGGAAAGAGTTAAATGACTATTTCTGCGATGAGTGATTGAATTATTCAATGAATCGATCATGAACAAACCAAGTGTCAGCCTTTATGAATGAGTCAATGAATCATTCATTGAACAGATTAGATGTAGCGATTCATTCAGGAAGAAACCAAGTGAGTGTCTATACGTGTGAGTCACTGAATCATTCTCTGAACCAATCAGAACACAACAGTGATTCATTCAGAAGCAAACCAAGTTACTGTCTATGATATAAGTCATTGAATCATTCAGTGAACCCATTAGAACAAAACAATGATTCACTCAGGAACAAACCAAGAGACTGTCTATATGACTCACATTGAATCACTCATGAAGTATATAGTTTCAGCACTATTTTAAAGCACAAGTCTCCCAAACACTCCCACAATCCCCAATATTCATGTTAAATAAGTGAGTTTAAATTTTAAAAATTGCAATTTTTGATTGCATACTTCACTGATCCAATAAAAATAAAAATATATAAATTAATTAAATTATAGAAACATAAATTATATGTTTTGTATATTTTATATAAATTAACTGAAAGAAATCACTCTATTATTATTACTATTAATATTTATTAATTTATTTTTTAAAGGAGACATATTATGCCCGTTTTTACAACGTGTAATATAAGTCTCTGGTGTCCCCAGAAGGTGTCTGTGAAGTTTCAGCTCAAAATACTCCACAGACGAACACATCAGCTGCTGAATGCCATACATCGAGGTTTCGAGGAACTTCCTGCAGGTCGGTACACACCAAACTCATTTGTGAGGTCGATGGGGGAGCGTTTCAGCGAAAAATAATTGAACTTCTTCTTTTAATTAAGGCGGTGGTCGGCGCATGGACACGCAGGTGTCGAGTCGTCGAACACGAGCCACTTTGTGTCAAGAGCAACAGGAAACGGAATTAATGAATGAGACGGGCCGCAACGTTTGAAGACAGAATTAGCTGTTGAATGAACATATTCTCACCTGGTAGAAATTGGGCCAGAAGGTGCTGATGGCCAGCTCCACCTGCTGCCACTTCTGGAAGGCCGGTCCGGACGAGTTCCACACGGCGAAGCCCAGAGGACTGTTGTTCTCCTTGACGTAGATGAGCAGCTGGCTGGGACTCGATCCCTCTCGACTGGCGGCGTAATACTGGAATATGACGCAGTGGGTGTCGTTCTCTTTGAACTGCGGCAGGTAGAGCTGAGCTCTCTGACCGGAGGACCGTCCCGAGGTGTTCACCATCATGAACGCTGAACCTGACGACAGCAAATCACAAAGGTTACAAGCTGAAAATACAACACGGCAACAAGTGCAAACTAATCAGTACTGTCCATTTATGCCTGTGTGAATTTTCTGTGGCGCTAACATTGATCAGTAAATCCATCCAGAAAGCAGGATACGTGCTCAAGTGTGCAATGGTGATAGTTCACAGAATTTCAATCTTCAAGCTTTCAATTAGTTTAAACTCAATCATAATTTAATAATAATTTACTAATTTATAATAAATATAATTTATTTATATTTGACATTATAATTTTAGTTAAAATTTTTGTAATTTTGTTGTGTCATTTTTATTGTTTTTTTAATATGTTTCTATAGTTTTTATTTATTTTATTTCAGTTTTACTTTTTCTTTTAGAACGTTAAACTAAAGGAACATTAGGAATTTTGACATGGCAACTAAATAACATAAAATTTTCTAATTTTCTAATTACAAAACATTTCTAATTTTTGTTTAGTTTAAGTTGAAGTGCAAAAAAAAAAATTTAAAATATAAAATAATTTTCATTGCTTGACATAAAACATAAAATAAATGTTAACATTAAAAAAAAAAAATATATATATATATATAGATTATTAGATTAAATTAGATGCCAAAGCAACATTTAATTTTTTGAAGTAATGTAGTAAAAAATAAAGTTGAAGTACTAAAAAAACCTAAATTAAAAACATAAACACTTATGTTACTTAACATAAAATAAACATTAACTTGAATAAAATAAAATATAAAAAATTAAACTTATTTTATTTCAGTTACATGCCCAAAGCAATATTTCTAATTTCCATTTAAGTTAAGCTGAAGTACAAAAAACGTTTACAAAAAACATGTTATTTGACATAAAATAAACATTAACATAAATAAAAACAAATTTCAAAAACAGTATTAACTTTAATAAAATTAAACTTATTTTATTCCAGTTAGTTGCCAAAGTAAAAAAATTGTTTATTCATGTTTAAGGTGAAGTATTTAAAAAAAACATTAAAAAAATTACTTTGGTTAACATTTATTTTATGTCAAGTAACAAAAATGTTTTTATGGTTTTAGTTGCGTGGCTCAAATGTGCAGAACAAATCACTCCTGCAGCATCCTGACATTATCATCCACCCCATTTCAAACACTCATCATGTGTCGAGTATGTCAGCGCTGGTTTGTGTTCACGGGAAGTGAAACGCATCACTTCCTCTGAGTGTGTCCGTGTGCGTAACTCGTTCAGCATGAGGTGTGTGAAGTGTTGAAACAGTTCATGAGTAGCTTCTGTCACATCAGTGCAGCTCTCGACGGAAAGCAGATGTCGACTTGAGAGCCGTGTGTTTGTCCAGAGCCACTGAAGCTCATTTAACCCTCATTTACACTCAAGAAGAAACTCTTTAACCCTAGAAAGCCTAAAGGATCATATTAGATGCGTGAACTTCTCTAAATGATCAAACTGTGTTTATAATTATACAAACGTCCAGCTTCAGCTGGAGCTTCATGTGTCTTTCTGCTGTCAAATCTAGACTGATTTTTATCAAGTCAGAATAACTGTAGTAATATTTCATAATTGCATTGTTCATAATTTGTTTAAAGGTTGCATGAAATGTTCCATTTTAAAAAACAGATTTTCCAGGATGAACTGGATCAGATGTGTTGTTTTTCATGAATGCAGCAGGTCTGAACTCTCTGAACAGACGACAGATGCAGATCCAGACCTACTGTCACAATGAACTCATTACTGAATCTGCTGACACACACAGCACTGTTTGCATCAGCTCTCCATAACCTCACATCTGTGAGCATGTGCAGAACACTAGCTCAACACTAAATACTGTGCTTTATACTTTATACCTCCACGATCAGAGTCTCACTCCATACACACTAAACTGTTGCATCCAAGTGCACAAGCTGCAGAAACAGACGTATGTTAGCATTCTATAACGAGTGGAAAGAAGATGAAAAGAGGATTTTCCTCAGTGTTATTTTAGCATCTCTGAGATACCATTATAGTTTTATTCATATTCATATGTTTTATTATTTCTTCAAATGTTTTCATATTTTCATTTTTTAAATTCAATTTTCAAGGTTTTTTTAAATTAGTAGTTAGTTTTTTTTAAAGGTCTATATAGGTTTTTTCAGTTTTACTCTTAGTTCTTTGAAAATGAGAAATAAAATGAAAATAAAATTTAAAAGTTATATATATATATATAATTTATTTATTTATTTTCAGTTTTAGTTTATTTTGATTATGAAAATATAATTGTTTTTGGTAATATTATTTACCTTTAATTTAGTAAAAATTATTTGCAGGCATCACAAACTGGTCCCGGATAAGCACCAGAAAATTGATGGATGGATAGATATTTGTTTTTTATTTTAGTACATCAAGTTAAACTAAATGAGAATGAGAAATGAAGTGAAAATAACATTTAAAAATATTTTTATATTTTATTTTAGTTAAAGTTTATTTTAATTACAAAATTATTTATTTTTGCAATACTATTTATTTTAATTGTATTTTCTTTACGAAAGGTTATTTTAAAGTTTCAGTTATTTTTGTTCATCAAGTTAAACTCAATTTAAAAAAAATGAAATGTAAATAACATGCAAATATATATATGTACTTATTATTATTATCATTATTATTTAACTTTAATTGCAAAATTATTGTTATAGTTAACTGTAAAAACCTTGGCGCCATGCTAACATGAAGCATGCACAGTGAAGCACAGTGAAGCACAGTGAACACAGTGAGCACAGTGAAGCACAGTGAAGCACAGGGAGCACAATGAAACACAGTGAACACAGAGAAGCACAG